AAACTGTTAGAGTCTGCAAAAGACTTAAGAGGTTCACCTTCCAGCAGGACAATGACCCTAAACATACAGCCAGAGTTACAATGGAATGGTTTAGATCAGGGGTGGGCAACTGTGGCCCTCCAGCTCTTGTAGAACTACAAATCCCATGAGGCATTGCAAAACTGACAGTTACAAGCATGACTCCCAAAGGCATAGGCATGATGGGACTTGTAGTTCATCAACAGCTGGAGGGCCGCAGTTGCCCACCCCTGGTTTAGATCAAAACATATTTATGTGTTAGAATGGCCCAGTCAAAGTCCAGACCTAATTCCAATTGAGAATCTGTGGCAAGAAAATTGCTGTTCACAGATGCTCTCCATCCAATCTGACAGAGCTTGAGCTATTTTGCAAAGAATGGGCAAAAATTTCACTATGTAGATGTTCAAAACTGGCAGAGACATGCACAAAAAGATTTGCAGCTGTAATTGCAGCGAAAGGTGGTTCTATGAAGAATTGTAAAGAATACAAATACAAGCCACACTTTTTAAAAAACCATGTATCATTTTCCTTCCACTCCACAATTATGTGCCACTTTGTGTTGGTCTATCACATAAAATACATTTACGCTTTTGGTTGTAACATGACAAAATGTGAAAAATTTCAAGGGGTATGGATACCTTTTCAAGGCACTATAGCAGTTCATTGGACTCTCTGTGTGGAACAGAGCTGGATTAAAGGCGAGTATTGCTGTACAAACTGAATTTTTAAGTTTATTACATTCATGGCAATTGATTAAACAGATAGCATGGAATTCTGCATTAATGCCAATCAGGAGCTAGAGATTTTTCAAAGAGCAATCATTTTTGTAAATTGTTTTGTACCTGCAAAAAAAATATGGAACAATAGATAAAACAGCATGCATGTAGCACCTTGCAATAAAAACTTTAAAGAATTGAAAGCACAATTTTTTAAAAGTAAAATGAACAAACAATCCATGGTAATTAAAATCCTGTATTTGTTAGGCTTTGGTTACTGTCTAATAGACTCAGACTCCTTTTATTGAACTGATGGTCAGTATTATGTGGCAGTTAGATATTTGTGATCCCAAAAGCTGTATAGACATGACAAGAGCAATTGCCTCAGTGTGGTCCATTCAGTATGTGCTACCCAAGATCCCCCATCATCAGAGATATAACATGTGCTCTAATTCTTGCTTTTAACATGGTCGCCCTACTCTCAATAACACATTTTTTTTTACTATAAACTCCTATTAAATAGATTAATTTCTTCATTCATAAACCAGTCACTTTCTCTTCCTTGTCCTAATTGTTGTGTGTTATACTTATGCAGACTATTCACTTCAAACACTTTTGATGCAATCAGTGATGATGCATTTTCTGGTCTTCCTCACCTAGAGTACTTGTAAGTATGAGCACCGAGCCATTACCATTCTTATAACTCATATATACAGCACTATGTATTTACCAAGACAGCAGCCAGGCTGCTTCCACTGTTCATGTCTTATTCATGGCTGCTTTTTCATTCTTAATGCAGACGATAGAATATGCAGCTAGTAAATCGATCACAGTGGAGATTCAGAATGTTCAGTTAATAGTTGAAATTGAAGATTTTGTTCTTATATGTTCAAATTCTTAACAAAATGGGGTCTCATGCATAAAAACTGCAGAGAAGGAACGTGTCATGCACAGAGCAAATGACATCATCGTAGATGCAGTTTAATGATGTCATCACACTACTCACTGGGGAGTTTCAGCTGTAAGAATGCAATTCACCCATCTATACGTAAAGGTGGGAAAGCATTTTGCACCTACTGCAACATTACATGTTAAGGGTTGGACAGGTTTCCCAGGTGTAACACATACAAACCGCCTCGCCTGGGTTTAACGCTAGCCACAAACAGTCAAAATCACTTTTCATTTTGGGCCAAAGATGAAAACTATTTGAGAAAACACAAAGTAAAACAAATATAGCCATTCACGTTTCTGGAAAAGCATTTTTTTCTTTAAATATTTTCTAGCATACAAATATTAAACAAAAATTTAGGACCACCAGAATGATATTGCATAATGTATTTTATTCAATAAGGTAATATTTTGCCATTTTTAAAAAAAAGAAAATAGCCAGCTGCTCTTCAGACTAACTCAAATGAGAAATTAGCCAACCTGGCAACCTTGGGTTGAGCTTAGTACAAAGACGTGGATTTATGGTACCACATCTTGGCATATGCTTGACTTGCTACCAAAATCTGAGCATGCTTGGTGTGCTAATATGTTGACTGTAGGAACAGAGCAATCTAGTGAGACAAATACATATAAAGTAAGGTTGAAGTGCACAGTCTACAGTATATTGACTATGACTGTCAAATATTAAACTTTTAAACAGCTGTCCTTCAATTGCTTTTAGTTTTAATGCTGGGAATCTGGGGCATCCATATATTATTAGTACCATGTGGGCTTCACATAACCCACACTACAATTCCAGAGTTATTGAAATCCTCTCTATAAAAGTATAGAGGTCCGGCTTCCCTCTAGCATAAACAAGGCTTTATTTTCCTTGCAGGCTGGAGTGCAACATTAAGAAAATGAGTGTTACTATGGTTACCACCTTTTCTTTACTACAGTTTCTATACATGAGGTCCATAATGTCCCAGAATTCAGTGCTCTTATTTGAGTTATGTAGTTGATACTGGTGTGTCTTTAATTAAATGCATGCTGCCTTCTTTCCTGCTCCTTGCATGTTCCCCAAGCCTTTTAATGATTCTCTTGTCCCTTTTATACCCATTCAAACCAAAGCTGCTTTTGTATAAAACGAAAAAAAAACAAAACAGAACAGGTCATCCAAACATAATGGAGACAGCCGGAATGCCAGAATGCAGTTCTCTAGGAGATACAAACATTGGTTTGGTACTTAGTGCCTCCCTGATGGTTCCAATCTCCGGGAGCTGACAGGCTGACTACTGGTTCAGTTTACAAATTGGCCTCCTCCATTGTGTGTGGGCAAATGATTCATTTTAATCATTGTAACTCATTTATCATCTCTGTAACTCAAAGCATATAAACCTTGATAAAATGTAAATGTTTAAGCTCTGTCAATAAATTAATTTTAAGATTATATAAAGAGATTTAAATGTCACATGTGGGTCGTAGAAGAAGTTGACCAGACTAGGATTTCATCTTTGGTTGGTACAGAATGGGTAAAGGCTACTGATAAGCCCTGAAGGGCATACCCTCTTTGGAACCCTCATGATATGATAGATAAGGGCTTACATTTGGGATTGTAATTTTTTTGTTAGCGTACTCAACAAAGCATAGACAGTGCGTATGACACTACATTTACTGGTGTCTGTTTTCAAGGTGTGTTTGGGGACCTTATAGTCTTAACTGGAACTTTTCTATGACCCTGAGAGTCTTCAGTATCAGATGTCATCCTAAGTAGTTACATATAGTATATAGATCAGTGATTGTATTAACTTTAAAAGTGCAGTTTGTAGTCACAACAAGGATTTGCAATATTTTGCTTTATATTTAATCAGTTTTCACTGAGTGATCTTAAATGTATATTCCCTGTAATACATCTGTATTTTTTGGGAGCTGTCATTATAACTGATAGCAAGCTAGTATAAAATCAAACATTATTTTTACTAAAAATGATATACACAATAAAGCAGATAAGTAAAAGACATAAAGTATAATGAAATCCCGAGGAAAATACTTTTGATTTGTAGAGCACTCTAACTAAAACATGATCACATTATTTTACAGTTCACTTGGTTTTGTTATTGTTTCCCTTTGTTGAGCACATGCTGAAACACTTTGCATGATCTTCTGTGGAGGTGTGCATGCTCCATCAGTTGTTGTCACAGTCTCAGTTCAGTGGGGAGCAGTAAAGGGTGGCAATGCCACAGCTGAACTGATTAAGCATTGTTATCCTAGAAGGAAGTACTTGTGGACATACAGTTCTTTGCTAGAAGGATCACTTGGTATGATTAAAATGAAAACATGAAGCCTAAAATTCTTTTTAAACAATACAGGAATATGAGTAACAGCATATTGGTTTAGGCGTTTGTTTCACTTTACGTCCAGTTTAGACGTAAATTTGTGGAAAGACCTGGGCGTACTAAAATGGCTTACCTGCAATTTGGGGAGAAAACTTAGAAATTCCAAGTATATCTAAACTTTTGAGTCTGTGTCATATCCTGAGGGTTCCGAAGTATGCTTTTCAGCTACTACATTTCAGTTTCCTTCCAAACCTCTAGGAAACAGAAGCAACCACGTAACCACGCTTATCTAAGACAACAGTCATGTTTGTTAATCATTAAGTCTATATATTATTTCAGTCCAAACAGTAGTGATGTGCAAAGTGCAGTAGCCCATAGCAACCAGTCAGGTTTCTAGATCAGTAACAGATAATTCCAGATTGATTTCTATGGGTTATTGTACATATGTCATATTCTGCTTTCCTAAATAAGTTTACATGTGTTCTTTCCCTTTACAGACACTTAAAAAGATGCAACCTTGATATAATAATGTAAAATGATACATGCAGTTCTTTACCCAGTAATGTGAATGTTTCTATGGGAGAGGTATGGATTTGCAAATGCTTTAAAGTGACACTAAACTCTGGTTTTAAAAAAAAAAAATCAGTCTCCTCAAAATTACTATTTTTGCTGCTTTGATCAGACTTCCTGTTAGAGGGTGGCTACATTGCTTCTTAATGGTCCCACTGTAAGTAGGAATGTAGCCATTCCTCTAGCCATTCTGCAGATGGACTGTATACTATGGGATGTGTAGTGTCCAGAGAGCAATGCACATGACTGCAACTAATGTACATAGTGTGTTCCAAACAAATGGAAGTCAAGGGGAGACAGAAAGGCTCAGGAGCCACAGAGAACATTGCAAGGGGGCAGAAAAACAAAATAAAAAACGATTTCATGAAAATGGATTAAAAGTCCATTAAGTAGTGAATGTGTATGGATTATTTTTGGAGAATAAGGATATTGTTTAGTGTCACTTTAACTTGTACCACAGGCTGAGCACTAACAGCTTTCTGTCAGCAATTGTCATATAAACAATTTTCATATTTGTCTTTTAGGTTTATTGAGAACAACAAAATAAAATCCATTTCAAGAAATGCTTTTCGTGGACTGAAGTCTTTGATTCACCTGTAAGTATAAAGTTAAACAATTGTTAAATGTAGAAAAAAAACCCTTTGGTCTGAAATGGACAGTCTTCAGTTCATGTTATTTGCTTCAGAGGTGACGGCATACAAATGCAATCCTCTGTTTAAAGTGACCCTGTTATGATGGAAGTACACAATTTAGAACAGTGGTTCGCAACCACCAGGCTATGTCCCACTGCTGGGCAGTAGCCTTCCCTGGCCCAGGCCTCCAGTCAGCTGCAGATTCCTTAACTTTCCAAAGTGCCTCCCAGCTCCCATATTGGCCCACATGGCCCCCAGATCCTCAGTGCCCTCAGCTTCCCCTGTGCCCCCAAACTTCCCACAGTGCCCCCATCCCCAGCCTGCTGCAGAGCCTCCAGCCCTCCAGAGTGCCTCAACATCCCACAGTGCTCTCCAGCCCCCTCTAGAAACTTTATTCCCTACAGGGCCACCAAGCTTCTCCCTCACAATGACACCAGCACCATCCAGAGCCTTTCAGCGTTGACGTGTTTTACATTACCATATTTTTATTGTGCGAGTATACATTTTTTTATTTACTATTGGGGCATGGAAGGTGTAGGAAGAATTTATTTGGCCCTGGTCTCTTTAAAGTTGAGAAACACTAATGTAGAAGATATACAGGAGGAATCAAAACAATCCAATCAAAATTAACTAGTGTGGATATTCTCACCTTTGTGTGGTAGCTGTTAAAAACATCTACAAGTAAAACAGCAAACAAACAGAACTACAGCTCAGTGGACTCCAGGCTGCTACCTTACGGTTCCATTTTAGGTTCACCAGTTTTTTCTTAATGAGACACAAAAGCCAGTCCAGCTCACAGATATTGACATTCAGAAGTGTGTAAAGAACTATCATTTGCCTTTATTTCTCATGTACAGTTGCTGGTGAACCTAAAATGGAACAATGAACAAGCAGTCTGGAGTCCACTGAGCTGTTGCTCAGCCACCACACAAGGTGAGGACATCCACACTCTTAGATGTGCTTATTCTTTGCTATATATCTGCTAGTTTGTGTCCTTTCCATGTTTATGGATTGCCTTGGATCAAGCACACTGGCAAACTGCCCTATTTACACTCCAGCTAGACACATTAGAGTACCCTTGTTTTTGTAAGGTTGATCAATAATTTATTCTGTCTAGAAACTTTATGAGCGAAGTGCAGGGGCTGCAATCTCTGGCCTCCTTCTGGAAATGTTAGTTGCCTTGTGGTGTCAGACTTATAGCAAAACTAAACTTGCCTCCACTCCAGCAATGCAAAGTCTGTTAGCTCTCTCGCCAGTGCTGGCATCTTATGCTGGTCTTCTCCCGAGTTTGGCAACTCTAGCCATCTTGATTGGCTGGGCTGGGATGACAACTCCCGCACATACAAACTGAAATTAATTCATCCTGACACCGAGGCATGCTGAGAATATACACATGTATAGCTCAGTGTACATTCTACAGAAATAAAGTAAGCATTCCTACAGATAAGTAAGAGTGAGATGCTTTTATTGCAGAAAAAAAACATAGTATGTCCTTCTGCTCTTCTGCAATAAAAAAATTCCTTCTCACAAATTAGTTTTTTTAAGCTAAAGCTCCTCATTAAGTATGTTAAGACAGAGACCTGGAATAAGCATGCTGTAATTGTCAGAAAAGTGACTGAATTCCTTATTTCCATGCATGTTCTGGGCCAGGGACTCAGACAGTTTTAAAGCCAATGCATCAGCATGACAGCCAAGTAACTAGGATTCTCAAAAGTAAAGTTTAGCAATGGCAGCTGCTCATTATTTTTACAAAGCATCAGCTTCCATTTACCCAACATACACATCCACTTTCAGGGTTTGTTCAGTGAATGGTAGTCAGTGCAAATAGTTGCTACCCTTGTTGGCTTTAGTCTGCAAGTGCTACATTTCTGGTTGTCATGCCTTTAATGGTTTCTTTGCTTTACAAGCCATGTACCCAGAACATGCATGTAGATCAAGAGTAGGAATGAGCTCAGGTGTTTTCAGATCCTACTACAAACTCACCTGCACGAACCTGCTAGGAAGCTGTCACTGTACTGAACCAATTATAATCAGCTGAAGCATTCCCAACCCCACAGTCACACACACATATTATATATATATATATATATATATATATATATATATACGCTCCTTGGGTGGGAAATTCCTCAGACGATTATGATTGACCCAGTAAAGGTTACAGCTTCCTGACAGGCTTGCTCAGGTGGGTTTGAACTAGGAGCTCATTCCTAATCAAGAGTGCTGATTTTTTTGTTGCAAACTTTTGACTAAATTAGTCATTACAAAAAAACCTGTTAATACCTGTGGCTTACATCCGGACACCAAGCATAAGTAGGTCATCAAGTGCCAGTACCCATATTTCACTTAGGGTTCCTTTAACCACTAGCTTATCTGTATTACCTCTGTAGTATCAGCAGAGACAAACAGAACATTGCACAACATTTTCCAGCCTTATGGGAAGTTGATACCAATAAAGTGGCACAACACCTCTCTCCATACATGACATTGACACAAAATTATTCATTTTTGATCACAGTCTTTTCCAATCAGCGATTGTTCCCTTCCAGAGAAAATAGTTGTGTTTGCGCTACATGTGCTGCATTCTGTGTCAGCTGAATCAGGGATAAAGAATGTATCTTTTAAATAAAGCAGTGCATGATCTTAGAAATCCCTGGCCATCATTATCTGTGGTTTTGTGAAGATATACAGATTTTTTGGGGATCATATACGGCTTCTCTTGCAGTCTAATGCATAAAACTGTAGTGACAAATTAACAGCAGAAAGGCTGCTCTGGTAACTGCTAAGCACCTGCGTTACCAAGATATGTAAACCTGCTATGTGCTGAGCGGTGACAAGGTTACTTTAAAAAAGCAGAACAACTCGATGCTTTCAAACACATTGAAGCCCTGTGGTTTAATTTGTAATTTATTCGAATTGACTAATTGGATTTCTGTCATTATCTTGTTACAATCTCCAGCTATGAACAAAACCAAATGCTTGTCGTTAACTCTGCTGGAACATGAAGAATGTTTTAGAGCCAGAAATGTCAGATTTCAAAGACAAAACAGCTTGTACTATTGTTGGCAACGCATTCAAGACCATGCTAGCTCATTTGCATGCCTAATAATGTAGTGAGTGAAGTTTTCTGGTGCAAACCACATCTAAGGTTTCTTCAACAAAGTGCACATATTTTTCAAAAGGCGTTTAGCTATGCGTGTGGGAGAAGATATATACTCCATATATAAGGCTTCCTTGTCTTACTTGCCTGCAGAGAGTTAGATGGGTGTATATAAAACAATAGAACTTTTTATTATAGGTTTACAGGCCTAGAATGATACAGGATGAACAAAAAAGACGAGAAAACAACTGTAAGTCCTCCATAAACACAATGCTCTGAATCATCTGTTGGGGAAGCAGAGTACTCCACATAAAGGCCATGCACACAAAGACTGGGTCTGTTCAGTTTGATTCTGGTTCATACACTGGTGGCCAGATCAGTAGCTGATTTCATGATTTAGGTGAAAAAAAAGGCAGCAATCCAGATCTCTGGCGGCAAACATAATGCCTGCATACGTCTGCATTTGTAGCCACTTGTTGACCATATTTTCAATTTAATTTGAATAATATTTCAGATATTTAATACAACAGATGTACAATGACTTTTTATTATACAGTGTATATATATATATATATATATATATATATATATATATTGCTAAATGTCTTAAAATAGTCCACCAGGCAGTGTTACAACCGCAATACTCACCTTTCGTCTGGAGATGTCCCCCACAGTCCCCCTTCTTTGCCACAAGATGCCATCTTTCTTCTGGGTTGCATGACTCTCATTGTCAGTCAATCCGGGAAGACTGTGAGTGAAGGGTGTCATAGCTCTGCCCCCTAAGGGGGCTTGGCTACATCACCCTTCATTCACAGTGTACTGGCACAGAGAGTGGTGCTGACATCATCACAACAGTGCCAATAAGTGTGCCTATAGTGCCACATGACTAGTCTGAAGATGTGGGAAAATGTAAGTAATAAACCCTGAAAGCATATAGTGCTGCCATTGTTGACAAGTGGTGGTGGGGGAATACAGAAACCGAAGTTGGGCTGATGGTGAAGGCAACAGGCAGTTTTTTATTATTTCATTAGAAAGACCTCATTACTTTTGTGATTTATATGCAGGCATTCAAGACCTTTACATATACATATAGGGTTTATATTTATATTTAGTATCGCTTACTCAGCACAGGCACCATTCAGAAAACATGTTGCATTTTCTCTATGAATGCAAAGCGTTTTATAATTGGATGAGGTGGAGAGGCAGGGAGGTGACATCACAATACCCCCCTTTTTCAATCAGAGGATGCTTTGCATTCACTGAAAATATGCAATGTTCTCTAAATGGCAACTATGCTGAGCAAGTGAACGCCTGTGTTCACTAAGCATTAGGGCATCCTCATGGCACAGGATCCAGGAGCCAGTATCAGTCACTGTAATAGCAGTACCTGTTACAGTGATGTCCAGCTTCCACAGGGATTGGCCAGGTATGGCACATACATTCTTACATTTGTCCAAACTGGACCAAATGTAACTATGCAATACCAACCATACCTTGAATTCAGCTTTAATGTTATAAATATAACTTTTGATATATTCAGCATACTCTGAACTTGTCTTGCTGCTGGTTTTCACTTTAGTAATGTGGTCAGGATTCCAATTGAGGCCATGCTCCCTTTTTAACACTTCTGGTCTACCAGCTGGTTTTCAGGGTGCGCCTAAAGGTGAGGAGAGTAGGTGATAGTCTGATGGATTGGGGTAGGGAGTTCCAGAGGATGGGGGAAGCCCTGGAGAAGTCCTGGAGATGGACATGGGAGGAGGAGACCAGGGAACTAGAGAGTAGGAGGTCTTGTGAGGAGCAGAGAGTATGTTTTGGGTGGTATTTGGATACTAGATCGGTGATGTAGTTTGGGGCAGTATTATGAACAGCTTTATACGTCAATGTTAGCATTTTTAATTTTATGCATTGGGCAATCGGAAGCCAGTGGAGGGATTGGCAGAGGGGGGTGGTGGATACGGAGCGGTTTGTAAGGTGGATGAGTCTGGCCGCAGCATTCAAGATAGACTGAAGCGGGGATAGCCTGCAGTGAGGTAAGCCAATGAGGAGGGAGTTACAGTAGTCAAGTCGTGAAATAATAAGGGTGGGTAGTTGTGAGTGAATGAGTTGCTTAGTGGTTTCCGGGGTTAGGAACGGATGTATTTTGGAGATGTTGCGGAGGTGAAGTCTACAGGAGTTTGTCAGCGATTGGACCTGGGGCTGGAAGGACAAATTGGAGTCTAGGATGACACCTAGTACTCTGGCTTGGGGGGTGGGACTGATGGTGTGTTGTTGGTTGATGGAGAAGTCAGGGGCGGTGGCGTGGGGGGGAAATTAGGAGCTCAGTTATGGAAAGATTTAGTTTGAGGAAGTGGAGTGACATCCAATCCGATATGTCGCTCAGTAGGCTTGTGATACGGGTGGAGACTGAAGAGGTGAGGGGGTAGAGAGATAGATTTGCGTGTCGTCAGCATAGAGATGGTAGTTGAAGCCATGAGAGTGTATCAATTGGCCAAGGGAGGAGGTGTAGATGGAAAAGAGAAGGGGCCCGAGGACAGAACCTTGAGGGACCCCAACAGAGAGGGGGAGTGAAGAGGAGGTGGCAGCCTTATAGGTAACACTGAAGGAGAGCACTGTGATAGATAGGAAGAGAGCCAGGAGAGGGCGGAGTCTCTGAGACCAAGAGAGTGTAGTTTTTTGAGGAGGATGGGGTGGTCAACCGTGTTGAAGGCCCCAGAGAGGTCAAGGAGTAGGAGCACTGAGTAGTGGCCATTAGCTTTGGCAGTTAGCAGGTCGTTGGTGAGTTTCAGTAAGGCAGTTTCGGTGGAGTGTAGGGGACGGAAGCCAGACTGTAGGGGATCAAGGAGGTTGTTGTCAGTGAGGTGGGAACTCAGGCGATTATAGACTAAGCGCTCTAGGAGTTTGGATGTAAATGGCAGCAGGGAGATGGGTCTAAGGTTGTTCAGGTCGGTGGGATCCAGGGAAGGTTTTTTTAAGTATGGGAGTGATGTGCGCGTGCTTTAGAGGGGAGGGGAATGTGCCAGTAGAGAGGGAAAGATTAAAGATGTGAGTGAGGGAGCGTAGAATGGAGGAAGAGGGTGATTGTAGGAGTTGTGAGGGGATAGGGTCAAGGGGGCAGGTGGTGAGGCGGGCTTCAGAGAAGACCTTATTGACCTCTTCAATGGTAGCGAGGTCGAAGGAGTGGAGTGTTGAGGGGGTTTTAGTGTGAGGAATGATAGGTGGGGTGGGAGTCTGGGCAGTGGTTAGCACTGATCACAGTATTGGTGTCACTGGGATTGTCAGTGATACCAAGTCAGTTCCCCCCAGCGTCAGAATTCCCACTGCAGTCTCACAGTCCCGCTATAAGTCGCTGTTCTCCGCCATTACTAGTAAAAAAAAAATGTAGAAAAAGCTATAACTTTCACGTAAACCAATTAATTTACACGTATTGGGATTTTAATTTAGCAAAGACATATAGCAGAATACATTTTGACCTAAATTAATGATGAAATTAGATTTTTAAAATTTTTTTTACTGGACATGTTTAATAGCAAAAGGTCAAATATATTGTTTTTTTTTTCTTAAAATTGTTGGTCTTTTTTTTGTTTATAGCACACAAAATAAAAAAAGCACAGGCGATTAAATACCACTGAAAGAAAGCTCTGTTTGTTGGGAAAAAAGACATAAATTTCATTTGGGTGCAGCGTTGCATGACCGCGCAATTATCAGTGAAAGTAACGCAGCGCTGTATCACAACAAATGGCCTGGTCAGGAAGGGGGGTAAATGTTCTGGAGGGCACACCTTGCATTGCAGTGTTTTCACAGTGACAGATTCATTGCCTCTACAGTAATCTTAAGTGAGTGTGTGTGCCCCCTCGTGTGGTTACTTGGTGAAATCACACTCAATGTCTCTGCCATGGATAATTAATATAGAAGAGCACTCATAATTGCCTTATAAAAGCACTAGCTTTATTAATCAAAGTATCCCTTTACATTTTCATAGAAGGCACTTTTTGTTTTCACCGTGACCACACACCTCCTAACTAACAATACTGTGGTGGTGGTGTTAGCCCACTGTGCAAAAACACACACATGGCTGCAAACTTATTCAACTAATGGGGAGCTTAACTTCAGGGTCTAAGTGATGAGCTTACCACCACCTACCGCTCTAGTCAGTCAACAGAGTCACAGTTTATTTTTGGGGAATGCCTTGTTTTCTATTCTGATTGATGCCCAAAAACTCTTAAAACATGTTCTCGATGGATCATCAAAATTTACCCAAACTACGCCATCAAATATTAATTTTATGATCAGCTAGATGCCTTACGGAGTTTCAGTTCCCTCAGCCAGGTCCTGCCCCATCTTCCCCAATAACACTCTTTTATCTTCCCTCCCCCTTCTTTACACCACTTCTCCTCTCATCTTTTCCATACTTCTCTCTCCATGTCCATTGTTTTTCTGCACTACACATTGTAGCCCAAGCTATGGACACTTCTTCATTGCTCTGTCCTATATTACCTGGGCTCTTTGCTCTTTTCAATCCTTGGGCACTTCTCCTACAAAACGCACTCAAACAATGATAGCAAATCAGCATACATCTCCAAGCCCTTTCCCTAAGGGTTGGTTCACACTATAGAAACGCAGTCCAGATGCGTTCCAGATGCGTTTCTGCTTGCATGTTTTTGATACATTCCGGTGTGTTTTTTATGCTTTCTAGTTCTTTTTTTTTTCCCCTCTCTTCTTCAATTTAAATAGGAACATATCCATTCCAGTGCATTTTTGGTGTGTTTCAGTGCATCCCAGTGCATTATTTATGCGTTTTACCATGTTCCACTGCAGTTCTGTTCAGGAAAAATACAGTCTGTTCTGTTTTTGTTTCTGCAACTGGATCGTACTGGAACTGCAAGAACTGATGTGAACTATAACATTGACAACCTACTTTTTGTGCATTTTGGATGCAGAAAAAAAGCACTCTGAAGCGCATGTAGTGTGAACTGGCCCTAAGAGTTCCCAGAACCTCCCCACACTCTATTCCCCTCTTGTCTTCATGCAGCCACCCCCCCCCCCTGCAATCCCCATTTGCCATTTATACACATTTATTAGATACCCCGTGATTCCCCATACAAGTGTTATCTTTGACAAAATATTTAGCCCTTTGTTTGAAAACCCCCCAAAAAAAAGAGACAAGGCCAATGCACATAACCTGATATTACGCATTCTTGTTAGTTTTATCATTACACTATATATTTAAAAAGGAAAAAAAAATCTTGAACCTGCGGCAAATGATCTTTTATTGAAATGGATACAAATTTAAAGAATGTATTTTCCACTTATATACCGTATGTTATTTGTTGCCTTCAAATTGCTCTAACTATAAGATGTCATTGCAGAAAACAACTACAGTACATATGTAAATAGGGCACAGTGAAGATTTCTAAGAGTACCGTAGTCATTTTATTAGAGTAACTGTATCAGCTATCAAATAAAATGAATTTCTATACGCATAATCATCTTAAATTTTTCCATTGCAGTTGTCAGAATGAGCTTTGGGTTGGTGCGACCTTTCCATGATATTCTAATTCTGCTTGCTTTGCAGGAGCCTGGCCAATAACAATTTGCAGTCTCTTCCTAAAGATGTCTTCAAAGGCCTGGATTCACTGACCAATGTGTAAGAATTACATATCTTAAAAACATTGTGTTTTAAATGAACTGCAGAGAAGGGTATGGTATTACTCTCATTTCCTGTATGAGTATTTTGAATCTCAGTTATGCAGAATAAATTGGTCTAGACCAGGGGAAGGCAACCTGCGGCTCTCCAGCTGTTGCAAGAGTACAAGTTCCATCATGCCTCTGCAAGTCATAGCTGTCAATTTTGCAATGTCTCATGGGAAATGTAGTTCCACAACAGCTAGAGAGCCGCAGGTTGCCTACCCCTGGTCTAGACCAAGTTGATTGATTCCTAAAGGAAAAATGCACATTTTGCCTTTTGGTACAGCCTTCGATAGTTCCTGTTTATCTGATGTACCATTTATAGAGTAACTAAGAAATCTAGTGTGGGCAGGGGCGGACTGACAACTCATGGGGCCCCCGGCAATAGGGGATCATGGGGCCCCTGTTTCCTCGCCCACACCCAAAAAAAGCCTATGAAAAAGCCAATGAAAGGTACCAGGGGCATCTCATGGGGCCCCCTACTGACCCCGGGCCCTCGGGCAGTGCCCGAGTGCTCGAATGGTCAGTCCGCCCCTGAGTGTGGGTGAATGTTGCCATTTCTGGGCAGTCCTTAATATATATAGGAGTGACCTTCCACTAGTGATCGTGACAGCCCCAGCTTACCTTTACAGCACAGCGGTTAATGTCACCAACCTATGCATTCTGCATGAAGCACTCTAGGGAACATAACAAGTGCGCAATATTCTATTTGTTTGTACTTCACATTGCAGTGGTATCTCCACACAGATAAACTGCAAATTCAGTTGGCTGGATGACAAATCAGGGTTTGCCTGTCAGAAGAAATCAAGCGAGATCTCCCTGCCATGGTCTTAGACAACAGACCAACTGGTGTGATAGTCTCTGCCCCACTCCACCCAAAAATAGGTCAATATGTTTTTGATTTCTATATTCTTTAAAACTAAACTCCAGTAAAATATACTGTATACAGATACCAGGCTAATACTGGTATGGATTCACAATTAATAAATCATTAAATATATTTACATAGTCTAATGTAAGTACCTGAATATTACGTGATATACTGTATTCCCTTTGTTGTCCCCTGCACAGCAGTATTTCGATTCGAAAATGGAGGGGCAGCACTAGCAACCAATCAATACACTTATGCTGAAAAGTAACATTCTGATAGGATATTCTATTGCTGCTGCTTCATTTTCCAGTTACAGGCTGAGAGCCAGAAACTGACCAGGCTGTATTGTTTAACTGCAGCAGAAAGAAAGTCGGGTCCCAAGGTATCACGGTCAGAGGTCAGGCTTGGAGACCAGTGCTAGAACAGTAGAGTGGTTACCACAGACCAGTACACAAGCAGGTCACCCTGAAAGATGAGGCAGGCTTACCTGGGGTGCAGGGTCCAAGCACTACCCAGTTTTCACCAGAGCTCCTGATGATGAAGATGGGTTTTGATGCATTTAGTACCAGGTTGAGGTGCTCAGGATTGCCCCACCAGATGGTGAGCAAGCCAGGGTCCAGTAGCAGATATAGCAGGTAGGGATCAAGCAGAAGTGTAGTCAGTAAACAAGTCAAAGGTCAGTAACAAGTGGTTACAGGTCAGGATCAAGCAGAAACATAGTCGAGGAAGAAGCTAAAGGTCAGTAACGAATGGTAGCAAAGATACAGATGGCAGCAGGAGTTACAAAAGCGAGATATAGGCTGGAGAGAGCAGAATAATCTAGCAAACAGTGCATAGCTTAAATAGGATATTCATGGGAGTAACAAAGGGTTCAAGATTCTAGAGAAACAAGAAACAAGGCAAAGTTGTCTAAGGAATTAGACAGGGAGCTGTCCAGCATCTCAGATGGCTCAGCAAGAAGAGGTTGAAGGTTCAGATCCAGGTCCTGAAATAAGGCTGTCTGTGCTGTCTGGAAAGACTGTACAAATCTCAAGATCGTACAGAAATACAAATCATTTGGCGGGTAACAAAATACGCATTTCAAATTCACACTATGTAGTGCATTTTTCATATGTACAGTATCACACTTTGTGCATAGGGCAGCCTATTCATTTCAGTGGGCTGCCCTACACTTGACAAACGCTGTAAAGAAGCTCAAATATCTTTTTCAACTTTGTGCATTTTGTAACCATGCATTTTGCTGAAATTTTTGCAGACTTTTTGCCTCAAAAATCACGTCTTGCTTGCTGCATTTGGGGTGCCTTAAACAATGAATGGCACAGCAAATGTGACATGCGTTTCTTGATTACTACATGAAATCATGAGATTTAGAACACTTTCACACGCTATGCAAATGTGAATGCAGAATTAGTGTTAGTTAAGTTATTGATATGAAAACATCTGGGGGAACATTTTCGGTAAAAAGAAAATCAGATGGGTTCCAGAAGTAATACTTTGCACATCAATAGTGCTGTTTGTGTTGACTTATTAAATATGACTGCAGATTGTGGGAAGACTTGTGTCTGTGAGAAAGACGCAGTAAATACAGTGTATCATATTATCTCCAGTATGTTTTGGTGCATTTAGAGGCTGGAAAATCCCATCTTCCTCTGACATTACCAATAATCCCCAGTTGATGCGGAATATTAAATTACACTTTTATATCATCCACAAACAGTTTTCTTTCAGACTTGTTTAACGGAAACCCTTAATTAATTTTGTGTCTGGAGAGTTACTGGAAGAGGAATTCACATGAGTAGTTGTGAGATGAGATAAATATGAGCAGTGAAGGGAAATGGACAGGTTGGTGGTTAGGATCCTGGTTTGTTCAAGTCCCTTGCTTCAACCTCAATGCACATATAGTTCAATTACACTTGTACACACTATACACATGTAGTACACAAGGTGCTATTTTACTTTGCTTTTAAAGCCAATCAATACATTCTTCCATATTGAAGTAAGCTATAAACCATGATTCCCTTCACCTAAAAAAAACCTGTACCATAAAATCTGAAACTTTTCATTCTAAAAATAATAGTTCCCTGGCTGTCATGCTGACACAGAGGTCTCAATACTTTTGGAATCACTGACCCAGATCAAATAGTGCCAAGTAGGAGTTCTGAATGTATCTTGTTGCATACAAGTAAATATTGAGATCACATAGAGCCAGGCAGAAAGCATTGTTAGAAGGTGCTCAGTACAGGTTTCCTCGAATCTGATCTTGCTATAAGTTATTAAGCCTCCAACTAACAGATGCCCACCAAATTAGTTGTATAGGCAAACACAACAGTAGTCTTACTCTGGCCATACACATGACTATCATTTAGTATAACAGCTGTTTTATGAAAGAACCTTCCAGAATTTAATATCATTATTATTATTGTTATTAATACACATGGCTTATAGAGTGCCAACAGTTTGCACAGTGCTTTACAATATAAACGGAGAAACTACATTTAAAATATAAACGGAGAAACTACATTTAAAATACAACTCAAAACAAAAGGGTGAAGATGACGCTAAACAATTGTTTGCATCTACAGATTATAAAAATGGATGATCCATTCTGCTAGAAAATCTCATCAGATTCAAACAACCTAATCGATCATTTTATGTAGCATTCAGTGAAAGATATGCAAAATCTGAGTTTATGATCGGTCATTTATTTATGGTTACATTTATGGCCAGTGTTAGTATAGCTATGTATTTTTCTCAGTACAGTATCCTGAAGTGGTATTAAAGTTTTGGCTTTTGAAAAAAAAAAACAAAAGAAACAAACATGTCATACTTACCTGTTCTGTGAAGTGGATTTGCACAGAGCAGCCATTTCTTCTTCTTGGGTCCCCCGCCAGCGCTCCTGGCCCCCTCTTGACCAGTGCCCTTAATAACAAGTCGCTTGCTATGGGGGCACTGGTGTGTGCGTGTTCTTGAGCCCGGTTCTTTGTCTCAATAAGACACAAAGAGCTGCAGCTCGGCCCTGCTCTCTCCTCATTGGCTCACTGGCTTTGATTGACAGCAGTGGGAGCCAACGGCTCCTGCTGCACTCAAAGCCAATGAGGAGAGGGAGTCCTGGGACAGCCGATGCTCTTGTGCTCATCGCTGGATCAAGAGGGGGCTCAGGTGAGTATTGGGGCCTCCCATACTGGGGGGGGGGGCTGTGGGGGTAGCAGCACACAGATCATTTTGCTATGTGGGCACTGGTGTGTGCTTGTTCTTGAGCCCGGTTCCATGTCTCAATAAGACACAAAGAGCTGCGGCTCGACCCTGCTCTCTCCTCATTGGCTCACTGGCTTTGATTGACAGCAGTGGGAGCCAACGGCTCCCGCTGCTATCTCAGCCAATGAGGAGAGGGAGTCCTGGGACAGCCGATGCTCTTGTGCTCATCGCTGGATAAGAGGGGGCTCAGGTGAGTATTGGGGCCTCCCATACTGTGGGGGGGGGCTGTGGGGGTAGCAGCACACAGAACGTTTTTTACCTTTATGCATAGAATGCATGAAGGTAAAAAACCTTCTGTCTTTACAACCACTTTAAATTGTTTTAATCATTTATCATGCTCGTCATTGTACTGACAGTTGCTGCAAGATAAAGTTTTTTGTTTTCCTTATCCCTGTGCATGTTGCCATCTACATAAAATTTATTGATGATTTTGCAAGGACATATTTTATCTAAGTGTCAGTATTTTCCCTGAACTGCCCTTGTGTTCATTTGGCTGTATATTGTGTTATTAAAATATAATCAAGGTCATTTATGAAAGCAAACAAATGAAAAAAAATGTATTGTTCATAGTAACCAGTTAGATGATTGCTTTTTTTTGTCTAACTTTCACAAAATGATAGTCAGAATTTGACTGAATGCTGTGGAGAACACTTTCCCCCCTTCTAAATGATGTTTCTACAGAAGTCTTCCACTTTTATATCTGATGGCTTGATGGCCTCTGACTGTCTCCTGCTTGTTTGTGCTTTTTTTAGAGACCTAAGAGGAAATGCCTTCCATTGTGACTGCAAATTGAAATGGCTGGTAGAATGGCTGGATAAAACCAATGCCACGGTGGAACAAATTTATTGTGAAAGCCCACCCGAATACAAAGGAAGAAAAATCAACAGCCTGTCTGCTAAAGACTTTGACTGTATAACCACAGGTACTTACAATATGTGCATTTAGGCACTTTTTTTTTTTGTGGTTTTACCTGCATTACTTTAGAGTTGGTGACGTGGTGGTCTCTTTACCCTCAAATTGTATGTAAATCCTAACATTGAACTTCTTTATGCTCCCTTTTGATCTATTAAATATACCATTGAAAGCATTTTGTTATAAAGTATCTGTTAAAGTGTAAAAAATACCAGCTGATCATGTAAAAAATCCAGAACTTTCCTGTGTCCAGAGCTTACTTCTTGTGTTGTCTCAATAGGAGTAATTGTCACTCCCAGTCATTATCATGGAGCTACAGATTGATTAGCATTTATGTTGTAGAGATGGCAGAGTAGGTAGGTCGAAGTAGCTTGCTGCATAAGACTGATAACACAAAAAGCAGTATGTTGTCAGCTCACAGCAAGACTGAAGGATGAGTGCAGATTAACAGGTATTTTTTATTTTTTTTTTTGTGATTGCAGGGTCTTTAAAGGGATACAACATGGAAAAATATGCAAGTATTGCAGAGATATACGGCATACGGTTTTTACATACACTTCAAGCGAGTAGTATGATTTTACATAGGGTCTTGCCAAATTGAACTTAAATATACAAGGGGTCTAAAGGATAGGTCCGTAGGCAATAATAACAATATACAGTATAAGCAACAAACCGACAATCGTGGCAATGTGAGAATAACAATTACACAATCTCATTTCTCTCTGGGCAATCACAGGGTTTTTAAAGTAATCAAACTAAAGTACAGATATTGATATCTCCCTTCTAAATCTTTTCCACGGTCCTCACAAATACACTCTATACAGTAACTGTAAAACCACAGAGCAAAAAACCTTTATTCAACTCAAAGGAGAATAGTAGCTGCTCAAGCCCTTTGGTCTTAAATATTCCACAATTAAGGTAAAAACTTGTGTATCACACCAATGTATCTTGCTTGATATATCTTGTAGAAGGTGATGTAGGCTTCTCTCTTGTACCAGTGGCTTCAGTGGTCAATCAGTCAACAGCTCTCCTCACTTTCTCTGTTGGGGAATTCCCTGCTACAGATAAAAGCCCCCTAACAGCTCCCTAAAGCACCAAGGTATACACATGGGGATACTCTACCTCTTCAGTCCCCTCAGGGTGCATACATACAGAGCCACCACAGCTTCATGGCTCCAGGAGATTCCCAATTCAGAGGCCAGTTCCTACTCGCACTACAGGCAGCCACGAAAAGGCAGTCCACACTGAAGTCTTAACTCCGCATCCTCTCTCTGTCTCCAAACTTTACAGCAACGAGTGCAGAATGTTCACACCATGCCTCCTTCCAGCTATGCTGAGGGCAGCTCCCTCCTTCCCCTGGTCCAATTTGCTCTTGCACAGCACCGCTCTCTTCCCTCCTGCTCTTCAGGCGCAACTTGCGTGACTCACGGAAATGACATCACACGTGCTGCAGATTTCTTGCTTCCAGTGGTGAACTGCAACAGGATCAATATTCCCTCAGTGCTTAGTCAATTCTGACAAGTTCTTAGGTATGCCCATCACAGGCAGAACCCCCTCACAATGTGCTGGTAGCCAACTCTTTCCCTCAATGTGCACATTGCTACGGTAACCCTCCTGTTGCTAGAGGTCAAAGTCTCCTATGTTGAGGCTTCAGATAGAGGCAGCCATTTTGGGTATAATAAAAAAAAAGGTCTATTGGTATGAGGTCACTATGTGGAGAAAAACATGTTAGAATTATTTAGCTGCTATAGACTATCTGAATATATAGAGGTGTATGCATAAGTAGTATTATTAGTTTATTACCGTATCTGTGGCAACTGAACAGCTGTTACACAGAAGATTTTATCCTCTTAGTGACTTCTCACTTATGCCTACACTTTTTTGTTCTACTTTAAATGGCTACTGCATGCCGAAGCCCCAGCATAGAAAACTTTGGACTTTGGGGAGATCCCCAGGTGAAAATAAAAGAAAGAAGCCTGAAAAAATGAAAACTAATGTAGCTACCACATTTAAGGAATTTGTAGTCAGTACAAATATATGTTACATTTTTGCTTTTGTTTAGATACACTTTAGCTTAACTGCTGAAAAAAGTCCTTAATTCTTATGGTTCATGCACACCAGTTGATGGAGATTGCTTTGGATGGCAATTCCAGTGCAGTCCCACCATATAACAAGGCAAAATGCTCTGTCTATGGTGTGCCCAGTTTACACTACTGCGTTGAGGTGGTGTGCAAGCAGTGTGTGTTGAAAAAAGAACTGCATGCAGTGTGAGAGACAATCCATCACTTTGCACAGTGCAGCCGACAGCTAAACTTAATGAAATGTCTGTATGACATCTCAATAAAGTTAAAAAAAAAGAAGAAGTGAACAGTGCGATGTGCCAAGATCATTGCATCGACACTACAGTGATCTCTCCAGACCGCACTGCACCAACCACACAGAGGCTTGTGTGAATTAGCCCTTAACCTTCCAGCAATAGGCAGTAACCTTGCCTTTAACACATTCACTTCCATCTTATCCCCACAAAGTTAGCCCTCAACATCTAAGCTCCCATTCACGTACATCTCCTGTGTTTTTATATTTATATGCAGGAAAAATGGATCTGGGCTGTATATTCAGACTTTATGCTTCCCTGATCTAGTTCTTCTACATTTAAATGTGCATGTGTTTACGTGCACTTAGACATGTTCAGGAGTATCTGATCTGTCCCTGAACTCACAGATTTCTATTTAGTTCTAAACACAGCTAAACTACATGCAACTGAAAGCAAATAGTAAAGGTACAGTGTGCATTGTACCATTTAAAATCATGTGGAGGCAGCGGACAGCATGGACGCACTGTCAGAGCGGCTGCAGACTGGCCAGATGCCGCTCAATAGTGTAGCAGAGTCTCCTTCCTGCTGAGGACTCATGATGGCTGTCGTTGCTTCCCTGCACTCTACTGAGGTCACTTCTGGTATGACGTGACGGCACTTCCGGTGTGTGATCCTCAGTGACACCGCGGAAGTCTTCCTGGTATCTCAAGTGGCATCTTACCAGGCTATTGGTTTATAGATACATTCCCCACCGTTTGCTGCCCTTCCACCATCTTACCATCTGTGGAGTTTATCATCTAGGCTTCCCACAGCCATGTTTACATAAAAGTAAGCCGCTCCCATTATTCTTTTTAGCATGTGACTTGTGCCAGTCATTTTACTTGTGCCATACTACCACATGGATTTCTTGGAATATGGTGATTATGGTTTTATCGATCTATTGAACATTTGAATAGGACATATTGACTGTTGGTTGTGTATGTCATTGCATAATCATTCTGGCTTTTACCACGAGCGCTCTGATTTTCTTGGTTTCATCGATCTATGATAATGAATGACACCTTCATAGAGGAACTGAAGTTTCTGACAGATCTGAACTGTTGGTGAATGATTTAACCCAGCACTGGCTACCGAAAGCTGACAGTAATTTAAAGCGCATCTTGTTTAATGATGAAAGGGCGTTATGTTTCTGCAAATAGATCAGCAAATTTGATATAATAGTGTGCTGTATGTTTGAGATGATATTAAAGAAATCTTCCTGATGACCCGGCTGGATTTTGAGCCTTGATTGACCCTGTCAGCACCCTTCTGCTCAACATCCTTCAATCTAGAAATCGAAAAAGCTAGGCAGAAAATTGTTGGCCGAACAGTGACTGTAGCCAGTTAGCAGGCTGTCAGAATGCTGTAGCCCCTTCCTTCGAGCTGTTTAATGTGGATTGGGGAATTGATAGATACACTCTTAGAAATCTAAGAGTGTATGGCCAGCCCTAATCTAAGAAGTGTTTACACAGACTGGGCAGCATTATACCTAGTTTTCAGTACGTGTTCACCGCCTATTAAACACTGATTGCCGACTTCCTTTTGCCATGGCAATATCTGTTAATGTCTCTGAATGACTTTACTCTACATCTTTGTGTTCTAGAACTATTAACAACAGTACAATTCATATACCACGCATGTCAGGGATTAGGATTTGTGAATATATTGAATCTTGCATTATGCTCGTAACTGAAACATTCCAGATAATAGATACCATATTTATCTGAGCAAAAGCAAAGACTATATGCAGGCAATAAATAAAAGTCATTAAAAGACAGTTGTTAATACATGTTTCCATGTATAGTAATCCATGTTTTCCTTTGCTTACAGAGTTTGCAATGTACAAATCTCTGCCGTATCAGTCTCTGTCTGTGGACACCTTCACTTATATGAATGATGAGTATGTTGTCATCGCTCAGCCCTTCACAGGGAAATGTGTTTTTCTGGAATGGGACCATGTTGAGATGTCATTCAGAAACTATGACAACATCACTGGTGAGAGCTTTGGGACCCTAGTGACCAGATATGCTACTTGTGACTTGTTAAAAACAGCTCTGACTAAGCATAGTGATTCTTAGTTATTTTTATTTTCATTTTATAGATACTTATAAAGTGCCCTCAATTTACACAGCTCTTTACATATATATTGTACATACACATCGGTCCCTGCCCTAAAGAAGCTTACAATCTAAGGTTCCTAACTCCCATACACATACTAGGGCCAATTTATGCAGGAGCCAATTAACCTGCCAGCATGCCTTTGGAGAAGAGGAAACCGGATTACCTGGAGGAAACCCACACAGGCACAGGGAGAAGATGCAAACTCCAGGCATGTAGTGCTGTGGTTGGGATTCAAACCAACGACCCTAGTGCTGCTAGACAGAAGTGCTAACCACTTAGTCGCAGTTAGTAAGATAAGAGGAGCAGCTTATGCACCATACAGTGTACAACTGAGACTTATTGCTTTGGGACACTGATGTGCTGTCAGATAGTCATTGTATTAATAACCTGCAGTTGTAAACTCTTACCTCCACTTTACAGTCTAAAAGCACACCATAGTCAGCAACAGAACTGGCTGGATATGCCCCCTTCTCTTCTTTCTCTTCCTCTGCAATAATGTATATGTGAAGAAACTTGTGATGAAGGGAGTGGCTGTTGCACAGCTCTGCAAGCATAGAGTACTGTAGTGAGAGCAGGTAGAATCATTGTCACTAAGTGAAAAAATGTATTTTAAGGCATTTTCATTTAAATATCAATCACAAATCATAACATGCAGGGGTTCATGACTTTAAAGAGGTAAAATGTTGTAAGACTTCTAGTGGGCTTTCAAGCTACAGTACATCTTCCAAAATTTAGATTGTGATATGACAAATACCAAACAATATTGACATGTTTTATATGACACACCTGTAATACCTAGGTGAAAATTTTGAGTACAGCTAATCTACAGTTGATACTATTTTTTTTTTTACCAGGCACTTCAACTGTTGTCTGCAAGCCCATAGTGATTGAGAAGCAGCTCTATGTCATTGTAGCCCAGTTGTTTGGGGGCTCTCACATTTACAAAAGAGATATCTTTGCCAATAAATTTATCAAGATCCAAGACATTGAGGTCATCAAGATTCGGAAACCCAATGATATTGAGACATTCAGGGTAGACGACAACTGGTATTTTGTGGTTGCAGATAGCTCAAAAGCAGGTTGTACAACCATCTACAAGTGGAATGGCAATGGATTTTACTCCCACCAGTCTGTCCACATGTGGTATCGAGACACCGATGTGGAGTATGTAGAGATTGCCAACAAGCCCCACCTGATCCTGTCTAGCAGCTCCCAGCGTCCTATTATTTATCAGTGGAATAAGAAGTACAACAACTTCTCAAAGCAAGCAGAGATTCCAGATACAGAGGATGTGTATGCTGTCAAACACTTTTCTAACAAGGATGATGTCTACCTTTGTCTCACAAGGTTCATTGGGGATTCACGGGTTATCAAATGGGAAGGGGGAGCCATGATTACCGAAATACAAAGGATGCCCTCTCGTGGATCTATGGTTTTCCAGCCATTACAAATTGGTGACCACAAATATGCCATCTTGGGCAGTGATTATTCCTTCACCCAGGTATTCCACTGGGATAACGAGAAAGGGAAGTTTGTCAAATTCCAAGAGCTGAATATCCAGGCTCCCAGGTCCTTCACGCATGTGTCCATTGAAAAAAAACACAGTTTCCTGTTCGCTTCAAGTTTTAAGGGATCTACACAAATATACGAACATGTAATTATTGACTTGAGCGCATGACCTTCTGTTTTTGGTGACACAAAAGACTTAATGACAGGACAGTATGAACTAAATGCATGCTAACGCTATCTTTTGACAAACACCTGGATAACCGGCTTTAGAAGCTGGGAGCTCCAGACCTGGAGCATTGCTTGTTTCTTGTTCATTAATTCGTCATGTATAGTGATTTTAAGAGTTGTACTTTTCTAAAAAAAAAAAAAAAAAAAAACCTTGATAGTTGACTGGTCTTTGCATTAACAGTTTGTACATATTTGTTCATAGTGCATTTGTCCTTCGGAAGAGAGATCTATGAATAATGTTACTTTTTCCATTTATTATTTATTCACCTGAAAACTGCCAAATAAAATGTTTACATTTTCTGTCTTCCACGTTACAAACATATTCATTAAAGGGATTCTATTCTGTAAGACTTGAGTTTGATTATGTCTGGCCTAGGCATAAGGAACAGAAACAGTAGAGTTAAATGGCTTTGAGGGGAATCCTACTGAATGTAATTCACTGGAGAGGGATAAGGTGAGTATAGGTATGGTCATATGAAAATGAAAGGTAAAAGAAAAGCCCAAATTTGCTTTGTTGCCTGATCCTTAACAGTACCTACTGTACATCCCTTCCTTCTTCTGCTGCTGTGTTCAGCTGTTGGAAGGGAAGAAAATACAGTCATGTGAAAAATAAGTGCACCCAATAAAAATAGATGATTTTTCAACATATTTGAACAGGCAGAAACTACACTCATCGGCCATTTTATTAGGTACACCTGTTCAATTGCTTGGTAACACAAATTGTTCATTAACCAATCACATGGCAGCAACTCGATGCATTTAGGCATAGACATGGGGAAGGCGAATTACTGAAGTTTAAACCGAGCATCAGAATGAGGAAGAAAGGGGATAGAAATGACTTTGAACATGGCATGGTTGTTGGTGCCAGACGAGCTGGTCTGAGTATCTCAGAAATTGCTGATCTAGTGGGATTTTTCACACACAACCATCTCTACAGAAATCGAGACTCCTCAGACCAGGCAACGTTTTTCCACTATTCTATTGTCCAATTTTGTTGAACCTGTGCAAATTCATGTGCCTCCTTTTCCTTTTCTTAGCTGACAGGAGAGGCAACCGGTGTGGTCTTTTGCTGCTGTAGCCCATCTGCTTCAAGGTTCAATGTGTTGTGCATTCAGAGATGGTATTCTGCATACCTTGGTTGTAACAAGTGGTTATTTGAGTTACTGTTGCCTTTCTATCATCCCGAACCAGCCTGCCTATTCTCCTCTGACCTTTGACATCAACAAGCTCTTTTCATCCACACAACTGCCACTCACTGGACATTTTTTCTGTTTAAGACCATGCTCTGTAAACCCTAGAGATGGTTGTGTGTGAAAATCCCAGTAGATCAGCAGTTTTTGAAATACGCATACCAGCCCATCTGGCACCAACAACCATGCCACATTAAAAGTTACTTAAATCCCCCTTCTTCCCCATTCTGATGCTCGGTTTGCACTTCAGCAAGTCATCTTCACCATGTCTAGATGCCTAAATGCATTCAGTTCCTGCCATGTGATTGGCTGATTAGCAATTTGTGTTACCAAGTAATTATTATTATTATTATTACACAGTATTTATATAGCGCCAACAGTTCACTCAGGGCTGTACATTACAATGGGAGACAATACACGAGACAGTACAATAACAATACAATGCGATACACGGGGGTTCGAGGACCCTGCTCCTTGGAGCTTACAATCTAGGAGGGAGGGGATAGTGGTACAGGAGGGATAGCTGTGGGGGATGGAGTGGTAGGAAGAGTGGAGGAGATTGGCAATTAGCTGAGGGCGGGTAGGCTTCCCTGAAGAGGTGGGTTTTCAGGGTACGCCTAAAGGAGAGGAGAGTAGGTGAAAGTCTGATGGATTAAGGGAGGGAGTTCCAGAGGATGGGGTAAGCCTTGGAGAAGTCCTGGAGGTGGGCATGGGAGGAGGAGACCAGGGAACTAGAGAGAAGGAGGTCTTGTGAGGATCGGAGAGTACGTTTTGGGTGGTATTTGGATATCAGGTCGGTGATGTAGATTGGAGCAGTGTTATGGACAGCTTTGTATGTCAGTGTTAGCATTTTGAATTTGATCTGTTGGGCAATCTGAAGCCAGTGGAGGGATTGGCAGAGGGGGGTGGCAGACACGGAGTGGTTGGTAAGGTGGATGAGTCTGGCCGCAGTATTCAGGATCGACTGAAGCGGGGATAGCCTGTGGTGAGGTAGGCCGGTGAGGAGGGAGTTACAGTAGTCAAGTCGTGCTATAAGGGAGTGAATGAGTTGCTTAGTAGTCTCTGGGGTTAGGAACGGACGTATTTTGGAGATGTTGCGGAGGTGGAGTCTACATGAGTTTGTCAGCGATTGGACCTGGGGCTGGAAGGGCAGATTGGAGTCTAGGATGACACCAAGTACCCTGACTTGCGGGGTGGGACTGATGGTGGCATTGTTGGTTGTGATGGAGACGTCGGGGGGGGGGGGGGGGGGGGGCACGGGCTGGGGGGAAAACTAGGAGCTCGGTTTTAGAAAGGTTCAGTTTGAGGAAGTGGAGTGACATCCAATCCCATATGTCGTTCAGTAGGCTAGTGATTCGGGCGGAAACTGAAGGGGTGAGGTGAGGGGTAGAGAGATAGTTTTGTGTGTCGTCAGCATAGAGATGGTAGTTGAAGCAGTGAGAGTGTATCAGTTGGCCAAGGGAGAAGGTGTAGATGGAGAAGAGAAGGGGCCCGAGGACAGAGCCTTGAGGGACTCCAACAGAGAGGGGGAGTGAGGGGGAGGTGGCAGCGTTGTAGGTAACACTGAAGGAGCGCTGTGATAGATAGGAAGAGAGCAAGGAGAGAGTGGAGTCTCTGAGGCCAAGAGAGTGTAGTTTTTTGAGGAGGAGGGGGTGGTCAACTGTCGAAAGCCGCGGAGAGGTCGAGGAGTAGGAGCACTGATAGTTGCCATTAGCTTTGGCGGTTACCAGGTCGTTGGTGAGTTTGAGTAGGGTAGTTTCAGTGGAGTGTAGGGGGCGGAAGCCAGACTGTAGGGGATCAAGCAGGTTGTTGTCGTTGAGGTGGGAGCGTAGGTGATTATAGACTAAGCGCTCAAGGAGTTTGGAAGTAAATGGCAGCAGGGAGATGGGTCTAAGGTTGTTCAGGTCGGTGGGATCCAGGGAGGGTTTTTTAAGTATGGGAGTGATGTGTGCGTGCTTCAGAGGGGAGGGGAATGTGCCAGTAGAGAGGGAGAGATTAAAGATGTGGGTGAGGGAGCGTAAGATGGAGATCGTAGGAGTTTTGAGGGGACAGGGTCGAGGGGCAGGTGGTGAGGCGGGCTTCTGAGAAGACCTCTTCAGTGGTAGCAAGGTCGAAGGAGTGAAGCGTTGAGGCAGTTTCAGTGTGAGGGATGTTAGGTGGGGTGGAAGTCTGGACAGTGGTGAGGTCGAGGGAGAGGGGTGTTGAGGGGGTTTCCGTGTGAGGGGTGCTAGGTTGGGTGGGAGTCTGAACAGCGGTGATGTCCCTACGAATTGCGTCGATCTTGTTTTTGAAGTGATTGGCAATCTCGTGGGCGGTGAGTGAGGTACTGGGTGGAGGTGGAGGTGGGGGCGGAGAGTAGAGAGTAGAGAGTTAAAAGTAGAGAAGAGGCGGTGAGGACTGGAGGAGAGGGTATTGATGAGGGTCATAAAGTAGGCTTGCTTTGCAGCGTGGAGGGAGGAAGTGTAGCTGAGGAAGGCAGATTTATATCGGGGGAATGCCAGTTGGAATCTGCTTTTGCGCCATAGTCGCTCCAGCGCACGACTGCGTCATTTGAGATTTTTGGTATGATCAGTCTGCCAGGGCTGAAGCGGTCGGGGTCTAATGCTTCGTGTGGTTAGAGGCGCTAACGAGTCTAGGGCGGTTGATAGCGAGTTGTTATAAGCAGTAGTGGCCAGGTCAGGGCAGGACAGGGGAAGGATACAGTTGTAAAGTCGATCAGCTGCAGAGTGGAAGGGGCAGGGTTCAGGTTACGGAGGTTTCGGCTGGTGATAGTTTGACATTTGGAGGGGTAGGTGTTTGAGGACAAGGAGACGGAGAAGGAGATAAGGTTGTGGTGAGAGAGAGGGAAGGGGGTGTTTGTGAGGTTGTAGGGAGTACATAGATGAGAGAAGACAAGGTGCAGGATGTTCCCGTCGGAGTGGGTGGTGGACTGTATACACTGTGCGAGTGCAAAAGAAGAGGTTAAGTGGAGGAGTTGGGATGTAGCCGGGTTATTGATGTTGATAGGGATGCTGAAGTTGTCAAGGATGATGGTGGGTAGCTCGGAGGAGAGAAAGAAGGGTAGCCAAGCAGGGAAGTCGTCGAGGAAGCGGGACACAGGACCGGGAGCCGATAGATTACAGCAATCCTCAGGGGGGTTGGAGAGAATAGTCGGATGCAGTGGGCCTCAAAGGAGGAGAAGGATAGAGAGGGAGGGTTTTGGAGGACTTGGAAGGTGCTCAGCGGTGACAGGAGCATACCAACCCCACCACCTTTTCGACACTGGGTGAGTGGGTCCAGATGAGACCTCCATAGGAGAGGGGAGTTAGAGTCGGTGGCTTGGATCCAGGTTGCAGTGATCGCTAGGAGGTTGAGGGAGTGGGAAACAAAGAGGTCGTGGATGGCAGTGAGTTTGTTGCAAACCGATCGGGCGTTCAGGAGTGCACACGAAAACGGGGGGGTGGTTTTGGGGAGCAGAGGGACAGGTACTAGATTGAGGGAGTTGCGGCAGTTCGTGGAAGTGGGAGGGTGCCTTGTGGGGAGCGAGGTTTGGAGGACCAGGGTTCGGGGAGATTTCCCCCGCGGTTAGGAGAAGAAGAAGGGTGAGAAAGGTGGCATGGGAGCGGGATGTACAAGAGTGCGTAAATCTACCAGTGGAGGTGTTCGGGTCAGTAGGAGAGTGGAGTATCAGGAGGAGGTGGTGAGAGCTGTAGAGGGGAGAAGGAAGCAGTGAGGGCGCAATGTACAGTTGTTAGGGAGGAGCAGAGGGATA